CATTTTGTCTTTATCTAGTATGTCTTTCAATACTCTCTCTAGGGTTGGTTTGGTGGATGTGAATCATCTCCTCAGTTGTCCTTTGGCATGGAAGCATCTTGTCTCTCCATTAAATTTGAATGAAAGTTTTTCTGGGTACATCAGTTTGTATTGAAAGTTGTTTTCTTTCAGGGCTTGAAATACCTCACTCCAAGCTTATCTTGACTTGAGGGTTTGTGCTGAAAAATCTGCTGTGATTCTACTGGGCTTTCCTTGATAGGTGAGTTGTGTCTTTTCTCTAATAGCTTTTAGTATTCTGTTTTTATGCTGTATGTCTGAGATTTATTTATTATATGTCTGGGTGTAGATTTATGTTGGTTGTGACTGTTTGGCATTCTGTATGCCTCACTTATCTGCGTATCAGATTTTCTCCGTGTTTGGGGAATTTTCTGCTATTACTTCTGTGAATATTTTAGGTATGTCATTTGCATTGACTCTTGTATCTTATATTGTTGCTCTTGGCATCATCTTGAAGCTACTGGACTGTCATTTCATGCTGCCTTGTGATTTTGAAAAGTTCTAGCCTTTCATGATCGCTAATTGCAATCCTGTTCTCAAGGTCAGAAGTCCTATCCTCTGCTTCATTTAAATGGTTTTTCTAGCTCTGAACTGAATTTTTTGTTTCTTGGATGTCTCTGAGTTTGTTTCATGAATTCTGCTTGTTTTCTATATTTTTCATTCAAGGTTTCAATTAGTTTCCCATGCTCCTGTACTTTTTTTCTATTTCTTCTTTAGCTGTGCTCAGCAACTCCTTTACTAAAGTGGTTACTTCTATCTTTACATGGGAGATTGCTTCTAATTTGATTTCCTCTGTAGCCCATAGAGTTTTTTTTTTTTTTTTATTTCACTCGCTATCTTTTCAGAGATTTCCGTTGTGTTACTTTTGAAGTCCTCTACTTCAGTGTCTCCTGTACTTGCTCCTGGTGGACTAGATGTTTGAGATTGCATTTTGCTTTTTTGTTTTGCCATTTTCCCCTTTCGAGTTAATATTTGGTCCTTCAATCCCACTAGTGTCAACTGTTGGTAGTGTGTATCTTGGGGTCCTAATGTGAGGTTGATGTTTTTCCAGTTGCTGGGTCCCACAATGAAGAGGTGGGCCAGTCACCTGACTTCCCCCTGCAGGGCCTGATGGGTGAGTCCTATATTCTTCCTGGGCTGACAAGCCTAGTAGAATTGATGTAGGTCAACTTTTAGTTCCTGCTATTACTTTATCTTCAGGTTATTTCAGCTCACCAAATTTCCCTGTCTATAGTGTTTGTGTCAGCTGTGTCACTATTGTGTGCCTGTGTGTCTCATAAGCCCTTTTGATTTTCTCCAAGTTGGGGGAGTCCTTATTGGCACACTCCTCACCCTGCCTGATGTTTTCTGTGTGCAGGAAGGGTTTACTCACTCTCTTGCTGGACTCACCAAGGTCTTACAGTTAGTTGGAGGGAGCTTTGCTGCTGGCCCTATCTACCCACTGTACACCTCTATTTTAGGGGCATACTCACCACACTGATTGCAGTCTGCTGAGATCTTCTGTTTGGGAGAGGCACTTACTGAATCTCCCTTCAAGCTAGCATAGTTAATGTGCTGTACCCCAAGGTTCTGGGAGAAAGGGTGGGAGCTGAAGATCAACAGCAGTATTAGGTCCAGGAGGTAGGAGTGTCCCTGAGGAGCCAGCAGATGTCCTGGGTCTGGAGTCCACTGGGCGTGGGCCAAGGTCCCAGGGCATTGTGGTGATCCTCAGTGCCTGCTGGAGTCACACCTATTTCCGGGTTTTGAGTGATGTTTCAAAACTTCCTCGGTGCATTGGGAATCATCTGGCCCACTTGGCTCCTGGGGCAGACTGCTGGCAACTGCTTGCCCCTTGGAGCTCGCTGGGTGTGGGCCAGTTGGGCTCACGGTGATTCCATGTGTCCTCTGGTGATTTCAGACACCGGGCATGGTCTTACTGCCTGGGAGTGAAGTTCTAAGGCTTCCCTATGTACTGGAATTCAACCCGCGAGTGGTCAGGGCCCAGGGAAGTCTTTTAAAAATCTCTTTTACTTGTATTATAGAATATTTTCCTCATTATTTTAGTTCTACATGTGAAATCTATTTTTACATGTCCTTTGAGCCTCACTACATGGCTGAACATTTGTGTTGTTGGCAGCAATCAGGAGAGAAAGATGAAACAGAGAGGCAATGAGAGGATTTGGTGTGTGCAGCAGTCTAGCATTTCAAATATATAGGGCGAGGTATACTTTAATAATTGTGGAAGCGTTTTGTTTATTACATGTTTTAGAAGCTTCACAAAGAAAAAGCAAGTTCAAATCAGTTAACTACCAATTTAGGATGCACTGAGAAGATAAGAAGGTTTACAGAGCAGTGTGGAAAGACAGGTACACCTGCAAACAGAGAGCCAATTGTGCTGAAGTTTAGGCCTCAGATTTAACCATAAAACTTGCAGAGTTACAGAAAAGGTTAAATTCATAGCAGAGTTACAGCAAAGATTGAATTCATAGCCATAACCAGTTTACTGATTTTAATTCTAGTGTTGGTTTCATAGTCTAAACTTTTTAAGTTTTAGAATAAATTCAATTATGATCTTTAGAAAAACTGGCACATTTTTAATAATGCATATTGATTATTTAGAATAATAAGATTCACTGTGCCATATTCGGAATGCATATATCATAGTTTGATCATAGGCTGGGGATTTAGCTCAGTGGCGTAAGTGCTTGCTTGGCAAGCTCGAGATTGGGAGTTTGATCCCTGGTGCCAAATGACACAAAACAAAACAACCCCCCCCCCCGCCCAAAAAAGCAAAAAAATCTCAAAAACCAGGGAATCCACCTATGTGCATAGTTCGATCATACGTACCCCATTACCCTTTCTTACCTTTCCCAAACCCTTTCCTTGTATCTGATAGGCCCTTTTATACTTTCATGTCATATTTTTATCCCTAGACTGTATATATAAGACAAAACCTTGTCTTTCTGAGTCTGGTTTATTTCATTTAACATGATGATCTCCATGTACATACATTTTCTTGCAAATGACATGACTTTGTTCTTTACGTTGAATAGAACTTTCTTATGTGTATGTAACACATTTTCTTTATCTGTTAATCCATTTATAGGCATCTAGGCTGATTCCATAACTTGGCTGTTATGAATTATGTCACAACGCACATGGCATGTATTTCCACAGTATGTGAAGTTTAATTCTTTCATATAAACCAAGAAATAATGTACCTAGTTCATATAGTAGTTCTGTTTTCAATTTTTTGAGGAACCTCCATTCTGATTTCCATATTAGCTATAATAATTGAAATTCCCACCAACAGTGTGTAAAGGTTCCCTTTCCTTGTGTCCTCTCTAGAATTTACTCTTTTCTGTGTTCCTGACGGTGGCCTTTCTGGCTGGGCTAGAATGCATCTGAGTAGTTTTGATTTGCATTTCTCTGAGGGCTAATGATGTGGAACATAGTTTTTCACTGAATTATTATCTGTTAGTACTTCTTTTGAGAAGTATCTGTTCGGTTCATTTGCCTACCTATTGATTGATCTTTCTCCTTGGTGCTGTGTCTTGAATACTTTAAAATATCTCTTGGGTACTTATTCTCTGTGGATAAGTATCTGACAAAGATTTTTCCCACTCTGTATACTGTCTCTTTATTCTGTTCATTGTTTCCTGTGCTACACTAGAGCTTTTTAATATGGTGTAATTCCATTTGTTAATTTCTGTTCTTGTTCCCTGAGTTACTAGAATCCTGTGTCAGAAGTCTTTGCCTGGTGTTTCTTGTCTGTTTTCTTCTAGCAGTTTCAGGATTTTAGGGCTTTAGATCTTTGATTTTGAGTTGGTTTTTATACAGTGTAAGAGTAAAAGATCTAGTTTCATTATTCTTTGTGTAAATATCCAGCCTTCCTGGCACCATTTGTTAAAGAGGCTACCTTTTCTCCAACACAAACTTTCTTTACCTTTGACAGGAATCAGGTCTTTTTAGCAGTGTGGGTTCACTTCTGTGTTTGAGATGTTAGGAAATGGGTGAAATGGAAAATCAGAGTCTGGAAGGTGTTCAAGTATGGCAAGAATTGTATATTTGTACAATAAAAACTGAAGGAAGGAGAATTCTTGCTGAGAACTGTGAGGGGAATGTCAACAGACTGGTGAATGGATGTTACAGAACTTGCAGAAAAGATTGAATTCATAGCCATAACTAGTTTGCTGATTTTAATTCTAGTGTTGGTTTCATAGTCTAAATTTTTTAAGTTTTAGAATAAATTCAATTATGATCTTTAGAAAAATTTGATGCTATGAATTTAACCTTTTCTGTAACTTTTCTGTAACTGTGCAAGTCTTGGCATTTTGGTGGGGAGAGGCTCATCCAGTAGCTGGAAGGTGGAGCAGTTCTGGGGAGAATGCTGGGTCACCAGGGGGGTGCTTTTGGAGGTAGAGGTTATGAGTCGGTGACAAAAACAGGGGTTTCAGTCTGGTTGTGGGTAGTTGAGTTTAGAGTGGACTTGAAGGTTGCTTAGAACCACTTGGCCAGGGAAATAGACTCGTTATCATCAAGATGGAAGGCATTCTGAAGTCATTGCAAAATCAACCTGGACACAAAGACCAGGCCAGATGGCCAGGCCTGTGACTTTGTTTCCTTACCGTGACATGAAAGGCTGTGGAGTGCGCCAAAAGTTGCATGAGTCTTTAAATGTGGATTTTATATGACAGGATGGGTCCGGTGTGCTCTGGAGCAGAGATACTATCCTGAGAACTCTGAATCCACAGGAAAAGAACGGCGAGAAACACTGTATTTCAGTCAGATAAGAAGGTCCCCATTGAGATAGACCAACCCCTTTGTTTGTAGAAATTCCTCAATAATTCTGAAAATGTCATTTCTGTCATTATGAGCATTCCAAATGGGAAAATGAGAGAAGTTAATTCATGAGATGTCAGTCTACTGCCATTGTAAGTGGCAAATTTAAAGAGTGTCTTTATGTGGCCCTGAATCAAGGCCAGCAGTTTGTTGTAGTTGCTGGTTTTAAATAGGACTTAAAGAGAAGTCCTAGGGTCTGTTGGCCATCTCAGGACTTTGGAAATGTAATGGTCAATGCATTAGAAAGAAATGGCTTAGAGCCCTGCGCGGGCTTGGAGAAGAAGTGACACCTCAAGACCCCGCCACCATCAAGGGAACATCAGTGAACCACTTTCCCATGCCTCTCCACCATTCTGGGAACCCTGGATCAGAGGAACCCAGGTCCCCAAGCCAATCCCCTACATCAACGGTCTGGCAGCCAATGCAGGAAGCATCCAGGATGCAGCAATGGGCTGATGGGGAGAAACACAGGACAAAGTCAAGACAAAGGAGAAAATACAATCGGAGAGCTCCAGTCCACAGGGAACAGGTTCAGGAGACACAGATATAACAGAAATTAGAGGTTACACTCTGGACATTTCAACTTGGTTCTTGTATTATTTGGTTAACTTTACATGCCCATGTCTTGTTGTCTGGACAGCTATTTTTAAGATAACAAGATGCACTCTGGTAGCCATTGTTAATGTCCTACTGTCTTGTTTTGAATGCCTGTATCATTTTCATTGTGTTGTTTGGTTTGGTTTTATTCTATTTTGTTTTGTTTAGTTTTGTTATGTCTGATGATCTGGACGGCTATTTTGAAGGTAACAAGATGTATTATGGTAGCCATTTTTATTTCCTATTATCTTGTTTTAAAATCCTGTGTCACTTTCATTGTTTTGTTTGACTTTATTGTTTTATTTGTTTTGAATCTCTTCAAAATAAAAAATTTAAAATTTAAAGAATTTAAAAATTTAAAAAATAAAGAAAATAATATCTTTATTATATGTCATTACATTACTTACATGTCAGTAGATGGCCATTTAGAGTTTCTATAAAGTTAAGAATTTATAATATTCTCCTTCATGTATTAATGGCTGGAGATGAAATGATAGTGCAGGTGGATCACTTAATAAAAAATGTATAACTGATTTCTTTTTAAAACCAAGTCTGTTTATTCAGAATAACTGATACGCTAATATCAGTGCTATATTAAGAGAAAAACTGTGCAGTCTTTCAAAGTTTTCCATGGCAGCTGGTTTCCTTTATCTGATTCTACCTTTTACCTGCTGTATCATAGAAAAAGTATTCAGAAAACCGAAACAGATGGCCACTATGAATTTTGAAGTTTTGTTTTCTTGTTTGTTTTTAATATGCAGCCCACTACATTTGATATAATCTGCAGTGGGTTCTCAGGATTGGTTTTGCCTTGGTGTTTGATATGGACCCAAATGGGAATGGCACTGCTATAGAAAAACAATGCACAAACATGGAGGCCAGGGCTGTGCTTTTGTGGAAGAGGATGCTGGAGTTTTATTTTATTTTTTAATTAAATGCTTTCCCTGCATCCATATTCCATTAAATTTCTGTCTGGTCTTCATGCTTGCATTTTTTTATTTCTACTAGATTTCTGTAGTTGTTCCCATTTTCTCACTGGATCCTGCTTTATCTTACAGGTCTAGTGGTAGTATAAGTCTGGTTCATATTATTTTTCGATTGGCCTCAGTGTAGGAAAATTTGACAAGAGAAACTTCCTGGAGCAATCACTGGGTATATTAAATAAATACCTGCTTCAGGGGTTATTTATTTTAAAAAATGAACCCTTTTCCAGAATTATCATAAGGAATGTTGAAATACTGAGATGTTTCTTAGGCCTTCAATGTAATGCTTTGAGGTTTAAAGTTCTCTATCGATGTTTTAGAAAACACAGAGAGCTCGCCTATCAGAGGAGCGCTAGAAGAAGTACCAAACAGAAGATATTGGGGTAGAATTTTTGCAAATTTCCCCTGTATTAAATGAATGCAGTTTATCAAGTAAATACATGTATTATGTATATTTATGGATTTTTAAGTTGATTTTTTTTTTGTTTGAGATAAAGACACACTATATATTCCAGGCTGTCCTTGAACTCATTATGTAGACACGGCTGGCCTCAAATCCACAGCAATCCTCCTGCCTCAGCCTCTGGAGTACCGGGATTACAGGAGAGTGCTGCCACATCCATTGCAAATTGATTGCTTTTTGAATGAATATTTATGAAATTCTTAACATATTGCAGGCCCTGCACAGGTATCAGATGTGAGCAAATGAAACAAAATTGGCATTCGAACTAAGGAGGCAGATAGTCAACAAACAGGTAGATATATAATAGTTTAATTTTAGGTGTGGATCTTGAGTTCCATGTTTTTATTAGTTTCCATTTCAGATACTTGAGTCTCAGTTGCTTCATCTGCCAAATGAAGAGCGAACACTTTCTAAAATTGAAAAGCGATAGTTGTATAACAAATTCAGGAAATTTTCAGTTCTAATAATTTTGAGTCTATGAATAAAAAATAATTCATTCTGTGGATAATATTGACTTACATCACTTGAAATTTGAAAATCTTCAAATATCCCTGTAGTAAATATTAGCTCTATGGAAACTTTGATTTTGGATCCTAAAGTACTGCTATAATTATTGTAAAAGAGTTTCTTTCAAGATTCTTTTTAGAGCACCGAGAGGTTTGTGTGTGTCCTGTGTGAAAACTGCCATCAAATCTATCACTTTAGTTTTGCTAGTTTCAAAATTCTATTTTTTAGAAATCATTCCCTTAAGCTTTCTTTATTTCTTTAAGTAGCATTAGTGCTTTTTAATTTTTCAGAGAAGCTGTATGTCTCAAGGAAATGCATGGCTCTAGTGACCCTGTAAACAGAAGGGGGCGGAGAGACCTGTCCCTCATCCTGTGCCAGTGACCTCCTCGCCACCGCTCACAGCCCGCTGGTCCCTCCTTCACAAATGCACCCAGGATCGACGCCAAGACTGATGGTCTTCAATTCAGGCTTCACTTCTTGCCTCTCCTGGCCTCACCTCTCCTCTGTCTTCTCTCTTTTCTTGCTTTCTCTCTTTGCCCTTATTTTACAAAATTGTGACAAAATGTTCCTGTAACTTTAGACTTCATCAGTGGGGTATTAGACTCTTATTTGCAAGTGACTTCAGTCTCTTGAGTTGTAATGTACTGAGACCAGAGCCTAGGCAACAATTAGCCGGCAAACATCTCCTGCCACAGGCTCACCTGCATTGCTGAGAGCCCGCGTCTTCCTAAGAACAGGATGTTTATCTTCTGACTTTTGGAGGTTTTCACAAGTACATAACCCATCATTCTCTTTGGATGTACCCTTTCCTGTGTTCAGTCTAATTGAGAATAGCTCTAATACCTAGTGTGAGTGGATAGTGTGAACATGATAGAATTTTAGCCATTATTTTTGTTTAATTTTTATTTTATTAGTACATTTTTGCAGTACATAATGGATACAGTCGTTGTGAGGAGTTGGGGTATGTACATAACACATTTTAATTCTTTTTATGTCCTTTTATCTTCCTCCTTCCATTTGCATAAGACCTCTTTCCCTGTTTCCTATTATTTTTTTATTTTGCTGTTTAATTTATTTATACTTCGGGTTTCTTACATAAGAAAAAAAATCCTATGCTCTTTGCTGATGCCAAATTCAAAGGCCTAAAAACAGTAAAACAGAGATGATATCTACTAATTCTGTATGCATGAAGCTTTTTCTGTTTACCCACTGTGTACATTAAAGAGGGACCCAGGTCAGTGGAGGATGATTCAGAGCAAAGGAGGTTCTGAACTGTATATGTGGTATCTGGACAGACTTCAGTACCCCAATTCTACTTCAAATGCATGGCTAATTTTCTGCATACTTAGCACAAGCTACAGAAACATTAAATCCTTGCTGTGAAAGGTAGTATTCTGGATAGTCTGACGAAAGCCTGTTTGGTAATGAACTACCTAGAACACAATATAGTTTGTAGTATACTACTTTCTCATAAAGGTTAAAATTTCTCTAATCACCCTGTTAATTGAGTCAGCATTACCACATTAACACAGATATTGATGGAACACTCCTAATTTAAAAATTGAAAGCTGATCGCCTCCAAAAGACAAAACTTTTGAAGCAGCAATATACACAAGTGGAAAATACCACACCTGGGTCATAATCAAAATGAAGGGACACTAAAACTACTAAAATTACCTTTAGACTATTTAGGTATAAATGAAGCATAAATTTCATGTTTAGATTTGTGTGAGAATATTCAAAATCCAGAGGGTCTCAATCATTTCAGAAAAGGAATTCTTAACCTAAACATCAATAATCTGTCTATCACCTACTGAATATGTTCATGTTATTTATGATTAAAATCAGCATCAGTATATTTGTCATCTCTCATTTTAGCAGAATGCCTTTTATTGTCCTGTCATTGAAGTGACAGTGAAGCAGCCACAATTGCAGTGATTTATGTGGATCATTAATGACAACTGCGGGTAGATTTTAGTTCATCCATCTTTCCTTGGACCAGGCAAAAACACTGTTTCAGATAAACCTCCCCTCTGAGTGGGTTTTGATAGAAAGAATTCCAAGGAACTTTTTGTTCAGGGCTCTGAACTTAGAATGTCTCAGAAACCTGTTAGGTAGTATTTTTGGGGGTGCTAAGTTGGCACCCTGAAATACTGGCCTAGTTTTAGGGGTTGAAGGTGATCTGGACTGTCAGGAGAGGATGACACAGGGTGGCACGGAGCGTGGACCTTTCCTGCAGCAGTGCATGCAGAGACTGCATGTATGCAACTCTGCTTTTCATTCTGATCTTCACTTATCACACACACACACAAACAAAAAACAAACCCAAACAAACAAATAAACAAACAAACAACAAGAGACTTACGGAAGAGGTGAGAGCTTTCTGATGCTGATGCTGCTGTCAAGTCTTCCTTCTCCTGGTTGTGATTCATGAAGAACTTTACTGATAACCAGTATGCTTTTTTCTTTAGTTTCTGTTCCAAAGAAGTAGATATCAGCAGCAGAACATTCCCAGGCAGGTTCTCCAAGGCACGCTGCACTGAGTGTGCAGGATGCCAGCCTTCCCTTGGGATCTCTTGTGATGCCACTCTCATCTTTGCACAACGGTGCACTAATTACCTTCCACTTAGTGCTTCGTGCATGCCAGCAAGCAAGAGACCCCATGCTGGATTTTTGAGTAATTTCATGAATGCTCCTAAGGGGTA